TTGCAGCATCTGAGGGCTGATCTTGCAGAGTTTTTTGTTGTTATTTTTGTTCTAAATGTCTCCTTTTCTTTTGTTTTCTTGCCTTGCCTCTTATGTTTGTTCAAATCAGTGCATACAAATACTCACAATTAAATTCTATTTTAAAAACATTTGCAATATTTTTTTTCAAAATATGTGTACTGCTAAATTAAATTGTTTTTTTACCAGCATATGATTATAATTATAATCAGTGATAAACAATGCCCAGTGTGGGCTACAAGGATGAAAGAAGTCCATCAGTATATTTTTTTCTACCAGGCATTTAGCACATAAGGCTTTTGATATTTCATCTGAGATTTTGAATTGTTACAATTAGGAAATGCATAATGATTCAGCAGTACAGTTTACCAATTCTGCCTGTTACAGTCCTATTCATATACACACAACTCATGCTATCTTACTTTGTTCTGGAAAATAAAGTGAATATTAATAATTTCAGTGAATAACTTAAACTAAATTCCATTAGAATTATTTATTGTTCTGGGATTTTGAAACATTTTTGTGGCAAATATCCATGTTTTTTCTGTTACAGATGAACAAACTGCATTCATGGTTCAGTGTGATCCATTCATTGCTTCATGGAGCCCAAAGTCCTTCAGGAAGTGTGACAAATATACATAATTTCCCTGAATGCTAGGTTTTGCATGTTTTGTATCTGATTAAGTTGAAAGATGTGTTAAAGAATCATAGAAAAATCCTCATATATAAAAATCCTCAGACAGCTCCCAATAGCTACATATCTCAGAAATCTCTGATGCATTTTGTTATTCAAAGCAAAATTGTCAGTAATTTACACTCAATAAATTGGTTCCAGATCTGCCTCTTTCAGATGATATCACAAGGACACATTTTTATGTGTGATTCACTTACCTTTTGTCAAATAATGTGCTTTTTAAGAAATTTGCCATGGAAAATGCAGATGATAGAGACTCCCTTGCCTTGCAGAGCCTGAAAGAATGTAATGGATCAATAGTTTGTATATAAGCTATGTTCTGATCAAATAAAATCATCATTTTTCCCCCAAGTTTTTTGAAAAGGAAGGTTCTAGATTAATGGAAAAATCTTAACATATATAATTCATAATGCATTGATAAAGCCTCCATTTGCTACAACCACACAGTCTTTGCAGAGAGGTACAAAAAGTTTTGATTCATAACCAAAGAAAAGTAAAAATTAAGCCTTGTAGCAGTCAGGCCTTGACTCTGAAGAAATAGTCCTTTGTATAGTTTTAAGTTCATTGCTATTTAACAGCTTTGCCAAATAATACTTTGTTACAAAACTGACTAATTTGGTTCAGGATTTTTTTTAAGGCAGCTGTGAAGAAATACATCTTATTTGTCTGCAACTTGTAAATTCATAGAAGAAAGTTTAAAACACAACACAAATTAAATAACAACACAAATTATAAATAAATATGAAATTGGGAAATTAAGAAAATGAAAATTTAGACTGAAAGACAAATATTTTTCTCATGGTAATGTCACTTACACTTGAAACTTTAAAACAAAAATATTTTTTTCAATGAAAACAAAAAAAAAGGAAAATATCACTGTCTAGAGCTGGGAAAAGGATAGCTTAAATAATGTAATATTTCTTTTATATTTTGAATTTACCAGCTCTGTGATTATGAATGGTTGTAATTTTAGAAGAAAGGAAGGAAAATGTGCTTTGTTCAGATGATAGTTGTACTTTGTTGGTTGCCTGCATGTGTCTGGGAGAAAAATGCTGTTGTGAAGTTGCTCATATTTCCATACATTCTATTATCTGAAGGAAAAAATACTTTCAGTGGAAATGCATTAAAGAGGTCCATAGACACCCATTGCTTGACTCCAGTTTAAGTTGCAGATGCAGGATGAGGTCAACAACATCTTGTACCTCTGGTACAAGCATACTTTGTGACTTGAAATCAATGAAGTATTGGAAGCAGCAAACATCTCTCCTGTCCTTATCTCTTTCTATAAAGGAAACCATCAGATGGCTGATAAAGGTAATGTTTTTATTATTTCTGTTGGCTTTGTGCCACTTGAAGAAATTCTGGTTTTTCTATTGCAGTGTAAGTTTAACTGACTATAATACCTCCACCTTTGACTTTTATTACTTTTTTTTTTTTTAAATTTCAGGAAAGCTTTAATATATGCAAGATTCGACCATATTCCTGGATCTCAATATTTATGTACTCTATTTCCTTAATCTAGGGAAAAATAAATGAATTTTGTGCTTTTTTTCCTAGGTACTGGCAAAGATATGCTTGTAGAAGCATTTTCTCTCTCACAATATGTTGATGAGACTTACTCCTAGAGTATAATATTCTTGCCCCCTTTTTCACTTAAAAATATTTATTTGCATGTATTTGTCTTTTTGTTCATATTACAACACTGCAGCTAGACCTTTAATTGTTGACATTCTCCTTTATGGAGCTCCTCAAAAGTACATCAATTCTATTAGACAGATCATTGTGTAAGACCCCTTCATCTGAAACAAAACTGGTCCTACTGCTTCTTTATATGTTTACATAGGCTATGCATAGCTGTCTGAAGATATCAAGTATCAGGAGTAACAGTCAAAATGTAAGACATTCTCCATTCCTTGTTCATGTAAAATATAAGAATAATGCTTATTTATATGATACTAATTTAATTTTCATTTGAGATGTTTTGTGAAAATTATAAATTAGCTTTTTCCTGGTCAGAAAGGCATTTATATGCAGGTGTTTATTGTTTTTCTTGCTTTAAATAAATAACACAGAAACACAAGTTCTTAATCAAAACATTAAAATAGTAGCGAAGCATTTGTTCCTTGAAAGAAATCATAGTCGATTTGTGCCCTTGCTGTTCTGAAGTGCCGAACACTTTATATAGATTCATAAGAAAATAAAACCAAATACTAGAACTTTTGAATACTGAAAAAGAAACTGTTTAAAAATAGCATGCAGATATGGTCAGTTGATGAAACTTTTGGTGCACCATGTCTGATTTTTCTGTCATATGAGTAATTTTACAAATTCTTTTGGATGCAGTGAAAAGAACTACTCTTTCCTATTTTTACATATTGATATTATTCTTTCCCTATGGAAAAAGTCTAGGCTTTCTTTAAACAATATATGGTGGGTTGGCAAGGCTCTGGTAGTGGGAAGATACAGGAGTGGCTTCTGTGAGAAGCTGCTAGAGGGTGCCTTCATGTCAAATAGAGCCAATGCCAGCCAGATCCAATATGAACCCATCTCTGTTCAAAGTCAAGTCCATCAGCAAAGGTGTTAGCACTTCTGGGGTAATGTATTTAAGACAAGGAAAAAAGTTATTGCGTGGGAGCAATTACAGCCAGAGACAGGAGTAAGAATATATGGGAGGAACAGCTCTGCAGACCCCAAGGTCAGTGCAGAGGGAGGGGCAGGAGGTGCTCCAGGTGCCAGAGCAGAGATTCCCCTGCAGCCCTGGGGCAGCCCATGGTGAGGCAGCTGTGCCCTGCAGCCCTTGGAGGCCACAGGGATGCAGAGATCCACCTGTGGCCTGTGGAGATCCCCATGCCAGAGCAGATGGATGCCCAACAGACCCTGTAACCCCATGGAAAACCCATGCTGGAGCAGGCTCCTCGCAGCACCTATGGAAAGAGGACTCCATGCTGGAGTAATTTTGCTGGACAGGACTTGTGACCCTGCAGTGAACCCACACTGGAACAGGCTGTGCCTGAAGGACTGCACCCAGTGGAAGGGACACAGACTGGAGCAGTTTGTGAATAACTGCAGCCCACAGAAAGGACTCATATTGAAGAAGTTCATAGACTGTTTCCCATTGGAGAAACATCACACTGCAGGAGGTGAAGGGTGTGAAGAGTTCTTTCTCAGAGGAGAAGGGTAAGGTAGAGACAATGTATTATGAATTGACCACAGTGCCCATTCCCTGAAAAGTCAGGAGCAAAGTTGAGCTTGGGAAGAAGGGACAGGTGAGGAGAATGTGTTTTAAGACTTGGTTTTATTCCTCATTACCCTGCTCTGATGTGACTGGTAATAAATTAATTTCTCCAAGTCCTGGTTTTGCCTGGGCAGTAACAGCTCAGTGATCTCTTCCTACTCTTATCACAATCTGTGAGGCTCTTTTAATTTTTTTCCCTTAGTTCATTTGAGAAAGGGGAATGATAAGAATGACTTGGGTGGGCACATGGCATCCAGCCAGGATCTACCCACCACAGACACTCATTTATGGGATCTTGTGGTTGTGGCCTTGCAGTCAGTAGCAAAATATCAGGTTAAATATTGCTGCATTTCCATTAGTTCCAGGGGATTACACCTTCTTATTTCTTGCATCTTGAGACCTTTTAAGTGATAATAATGCTGACTTCTTGCTACAAGTTTCTCATGAGTTATTGTATGAGGGAATTGTGTTTTTATTATAATTTCATGCTCATCCGCACATTCTCATAACTAGTAGAGCATGTGTTTGCCCAAATAGTCTGTCCAATATTCAAGGATTAACAGGCATGTACTGAGGTCGCCTGGCCAGGATTTCCTGTGATATCATGGAGGGTAGTGAGCATACTGAGTCATTACCATGGCTCTCAGCTTTTTCCTATGTTGGCAGCCTTGATAGTTTTTGATATCTTTTTTTATATCCCTTAGGAGTTGACCTCAATATATTTTTTATTCTGTAAATTGTTTTATTCTTTCATAACCCTCTCAAAATTTATGCAGCATTTTGATTAGCTTTGCTTTCTCTCTGTACCTTTGTGAACCTTTTGTCTCTCTTTATACCTTTGCTCATCCTGTTCAGGGTGTGGGCTGTCATTTATTCTCCTTAATTTTCTTCTCTTTAATACACTGCATGTACCATCACAGAGATCTTCTTAGTTTTCTTATCTAGGTGCCATAAACACTGGGTTTTGTACATCTCTCTTTTGCTGTTTCAGTATCTAGACTTCCAATATCCTTTAATTCTCCAGTATCATTTCTGTTGAAATTCTGACTGCAGGGACATGACAGCATGAGGACCTGAGATTCAACAAGGCCAAGTGACAAGTCCTGCAGTTTGGCTACAACAATGCCATGCAGCACTACAGGCTGGGACAAGAGTGACTGTAAAGAGGCCTGGTGGAAAAGGACCTGAGGGTGCTGGTTGAGAGCAGCTGAACGTGGCCCAGTGGCCAGGAAAACCAATGACATCCTGTCCTGGCCAGCAACAATGGGCTGGGATTGTCCCTCTGTACATGGCACTGGTGACAACACAAATCCCGTGTCCAGTTCCAGGCCCCTCACTGCATAAAAAACATTGAGGGGTTGGAGCAAGTCCAGAGAAGGACAACAGAGCTGGTGAATTGGCTAGAGGGTGAGTCCTGTGAGGAGTGACTGAGGGATCTGGGGTTGTTCATACAGGATGAAAGGAAAAGGCTTGGGCGGACCTTATTGTTCTCTCCAATTACCTAAAAGGAGGGTGTAGCTGGAGAGGAAATTAGTCTCTTATCCTAAGCAATAAGTGACAGTACAGAGCCTCAAGCTGAGCCAGGGAAGGGCCAGGCTGGACAAATTTCTTCACTGAAAGAGTAGTTAAACAATGGAATGGTCTGCCCAGGGAGGTGGTAGAGTCACCATCCCTGGAGGTGTTCAGGAAACAGCTAACATGCCATGTAGTACTATGGGCTAGTTGGCTAGTTGGTAATCAGTCATAGATTGGATGTGATGTTATTAGAGGTTTCTTCAATCTAAATGATTTTGTGATTCTTTCATTTCAGAACTTTGAAGTTGCACTGTATGTTTCCACTGAGGTTTTAAAACTGTACTGCAGGCAATAGAGTCCACCACTGTCTGAAGCCAGTCTTGTTCCTTTCATTAGAGAAGGACCAGCAGTAGAAGGTGGCCATTTAAGCAGTTTTAATGCAATATTGCACAAAGCAGGAAAACTATACACAGAAAAACATCCAGGATGATTGCTGATTTTCTAAAAAAAAACAGATTTGCAGGTTCACTGGTTCCCTGAAAAGAATTTTGGTGATTGGCAGTCTAGGCTAAATGGACACAAAAAGGACCCTTTTCTCTGACCCATTGATTTTTTCATGTTTTTACATGTCATGGAAATCAGGAGATTTATGAAAAGGATCTCACATTTGTTAACCTTTTGTTACAGCTATCCATTTATCATAGCATCCAGAAGATTTTACTTTGTTGTTGAAAAAGAGATGATGCATTCTAAAAACAGCTGAAACTGAAAAATAATTTCTGAAGTGAGTTGAACCAGTGTAATGTGTGTGAATACATGTAATATAATCTCTTGTAACATACACCTTTGACCAAATACTATTAATAATGGTATGCAGGATAATATGGCATTATGGAAAATCACCTCTTCATTGGAAGATGAAAACAATCCAAAAATCTAAATAATAATAGTCTTCACCATGATGTCTAATTATTCTTTAATCAAGTCTTTAATGAATTCAAGATATGATCATAGTCACAGCAGTTTCAACCCCCACATTGTAAATCCACATGTAAAGAATACAATTTAACAATCCTTTAGTGCTATTTTGAACAGGCTGCAAATGCAATTTTAGAACTATTCGATTTTTCAAATAACCTGGTAGGAACTGCAGTTTGTATAACTAATTTTGTGATGGTAATATGTTCATATTGTCCTCTTTTATCATTAATCTGCATAGGTATAATTAGAAGTTTGGCTTGATTAAGAAAAACCATTTACTCAAATAAATACCAAGCCTTTGAGGTTTTCTTTAAAAGAAAATCTTAATTCTAGATTATTTTAAAGGGTAGACAAATGTCTTGAAAATGTATTTAAAAAGCATTTCATAGAAACAATAGAGTTGTACATAGGTGTTCATATCTGTTCTTTCATAATTCTGCCAACTTATTTTAATGTGTATAGTGATGCATCATAGAGACACGATTTAGCAATTGATACTTGACTGGGAAACACTTTGCATATTTTTGGTACCATAGAAACCACCTGTTAAAAACTACCTATAAACATTAATAAGGGTTGTAAATGAAAAAAATTTAACTGTGGTAATTTTTAGCACATTTCCACCCAGATACACTTGGAATTATAGTAACAAAGTTGAAAATGTTATGGTGTTAGTGTCATGGATGAGTTCATTGCCATGACTAACGGCATCAGTGGGAAAAAAAAAAGCAAGACTACTTAGATTATGTACATACACAAAACAGTAAAATGACGAGAAAGTTGGAGAGATCAAGTGTTAAATTGTAATGCTAAGGATGAACAGCATCAAACTTGCCCTGGAGTTGTTGAAAAAGATGCCTTGCTGTTTCTCATTTACCAAATTGGTTCTAAAATGTGCATAAATTAAAATATTTCATAGAACTCTCTTTTTTATTACTCTTCATTATCCTATAAGAATGGAAAGGAATTATAGTTAACAGTTTAAAAATATTGTGCAATTCAGAATGAAATCTTGCATCTACATGTAAAATGAAAGAGGCTTGTATATTATACTTCATTTTTGACAATTTTTTTCCTGTATAGATATATGTAGGCAAAACATTAAAAGCTATTTAGCCTACTGCTAACTCACTCCTTTTCAAAATTAACCATATCCCTTAAGCTAAATGGCTAAGCTAGATAAATAACCACAAACATGAAAGAACTTACACACATTTTGCAACTCCTACTATTTACTGAGTAAATGGCATATTTAAAATTTTTTAATTATCTTTAAAATTGACAATTAATAATGGAAAACAAAAATTCTATGCTGGACAGCTATTAGAGGTTTTCATTTATAGTAAAGTGTTTTATTGTGTGACATGGGAAACACAGGAATTATGACTCATGGGAGAGCAGAATTAAGAATTATGCAGCATCTTTCAATCAAGGCACAATCTCACACCAGCCCTGGTGAAGATTAGGTGTTTATTACAGGTCTACTGGGTTCTTTCCAAAGACAAGGAAAGGTTTTGTTCCCCTAAGTCATTCCTGTATTGACTTAGAACTGAACCTTCAATTGAACTGAACTGAACTGTATTGAATTTAGAACTGTATTGAACTTAGAATTACATATGAAACAGAAAGAGTCTGGGGAGTAGTGGAATGGGTTTGAAGCTTTTGAACTCCAAAACATTTTTGAAAGGGCACATCTTACAGTCATTAAGCTGTAATACAGGAACAAAATATTATATAATTCTCTAGTACTTGATTGTATTTTAATAGCTATGTATGTCCACATATGTAGTAGTATAAGATACCAATAGGTCAAAGGGATCTTAATATGTTGAATTTTAAGACACTTTTTACTTTCCATATATTTCTTTATATTTGTTGATTTGAGGAAATCCTGTTGCTTTTACTTTAAATCTGAAAAATATGAGCTGATAACTGAAAACTGAGCTGATAATTCCTGTGGAATGAATGTGAAAAATCCTTTCTTTCTGTTTACATAGAATGTAAACTAATAAACAAACCAACCCACCTCTCCTCTTTTGTTGTCTTCTTTGCTTTCATCATCTAGCATTTGACATATGAAGTAACTTTCCATCATATTTTATTACTTCAGAGGCAAATCTTACCCTTCACTTACACCTGGAAACACTGGCCAGACTAGAATTGTAGTTCAGGTTTTATTAAGGTTGTATGGCACATCTCCTGCCCCTTCCAGATCAACTTCACAATTTCACAGAAAATTCCTTCACAAGGTCTTTGAAGGAGTATTAGAGGCAGAATGCACTTGTTAATGTTTCCCTCAAGCAGTGCTAACACTATTTCAGTCTTTGAGTTTCAGCAGCACAGGTTAGAATGAGGATTATTTTGACATAGGGGCCATGAAAAATTTTTGTGCTAAACTTATATATGCTTGGACATGACTTCACCTAATATTACTTTTTATTGTTTTTTTTTTTTTTCCAGAATTGTTTACAGTCTAGCAAGCTCTTATAACAAAGTAATTTTGGATATTCTTTTGTAAAAAGAATCTTGTTCCTTAACTATTGTTACATTTCCAAGAAACTAAATGCAGAAGCCAGTGGTGACTATGTGTTTTATATTGTGACAGAAAACAAAAAGAAGCCCAAAACACTGTGTGAGGAATCTCTGACAGGATATGTTCACATCATAATTTTAGTTAAAATTGGAGAAGTATTTTTGAAACCAGTCTTAGCTCCCATTCTGTAATATCATTGGTGTCATAGGGGCATCTGTTGGTGTCACAGAGCACGTGCCCTGTGTAGAAGTGATGAAATTAAGCTGGCTGTGTTGGGTTAGGCTCCTGGTGTGCCTATCTCAGGCACCCAGGCTGCTTAGAAGTATCTGATTCATGGGACCAAAGCAGTTTTTCGAGTAATCATCTCTGAAGCATGTATTTAATTAATATCAGGTCCACAGCCCCAGCTGTTTAGCTCTACCAACCCACTCCTGCTGCATACCACTGCTTGCTAGTTGTAAAAGCAGTGGACTGTCATCCAGCAATGGCCATTGCAACAACAAAGAAATGTGCAAGTCTGAAGAAGCTTCCAGCCATGTAGCTGTACAAAAAGAGAAAGAAAATTTTTGGTTAAGTGCACACATAGTGCCATTACTTGGATTTTCCGAACCATGTCTGTGTTTCTCAGTTTTACTATAAAAGTTTAGGGACCATGATCACTGGTTAAAGTGTAACAGTTCTATAAGTGTTTGAATGCTGCTGTTAGTACAAAAAAAGTGAAAAAAAAAAAAATTGCACTGGAATAATGTAGATTAGATCTAGATACTTAATTTGCAAATACAGTCCTTGAAATACTGTGAAAAATATTTCATAAGCACAAAAGAATATGGAAATGAATATTTGCAGGTCTGAGAGGCTGTTACTAAATATAACAGGTAAAGTAAATTTATTTGTTACAGCTCTCTAGTTATGTACACTTATCAGATGACTGCTACACAAATTAGAAAATCAGAACATCTATGGGGTCATTAAGGTAATGCTTTCTCAGGGTATTCTACAGGATTCTGTCTACAAAGTGCTGTGTAGATATTTATATACTCCAGTTTAAAATTACTTAAAGGCCTTCCAGATTTCACACCAAGACATTGCTTTGTAATTGAATGCATATCACTCTGAGATTGCTTTACAAGTGATTGGCACTCTTCAGAATATATTTATAACACAGCTCTGGTAGAACAAACAAGTGTACTCAGATTAGATCCTAAGGAAGCTAATTTTCTTTCCCAGCCACTGCAGTACATCTGTAATTCTTCTCACTATTGACACAGTGTTGTTATGCTCAGGCATATATCTCTTAAAATCTTATAATTCACCTGTAACCTTTGTTTTATTATTTTCTTCCTCCTAACTGCCTCCATGTAAAATCTTTATGTCCAATGTGTGTATGCTTGGACTCCAGACTCAACTGCATGAGATATTGACAGAGTATTACAACTGGTGACGATATGTAAAGAGGCATGATTTTGTGTTAAAGAAGACTTTTTTCTGTCCAACTTGTAGTGAAAATGCAGAATTAATTTGTCTTGCTGAGATGAACCAAAAAAACTATTAGATGTTGTCTTGCCACACAGAAGAATGCAGCAAAATTTTATTTACATTTTCAAGTTCTGTAAGGAGCAAGGATCAGGAAGAAGCATTTGAAATGTTCAAGCATTAAAATATCTTGAGGAATTTGATAGAGATGAGTATCAAATAAATGCCTCTCTAGGAGAAGTGACCACGTGTGGTGGTTCTTGCTCCTTGGTTCAGCTTTCATGTTTCAAGTGTTCCAGTTTGCATATTGGAAGTCATGACATGTTCTTGCTGTAAGCATTAATTAATTCTTCTTAATTATTTCGAAGCAGAAAATATTCTGTGTGTTTTTCAGAATTTTCCTACATCCTGCTAGCATAGCTATTAAACTATACATAGCAAGAGAGCACATCAGTTCTGCTACTCCTGCAGCTTGTGTGTGTGCTGGACTCAAAGACAGCAGTATGCAGAGCTCAGAATGTCACAGGTGAATAGGATAACAGTAGTGCTGTAGGAAGCCTTAGGAAAAACAAATACATTTTGTCAAAATATCTCACAAAGTAAAGACTGGATAATTAAAATAACAGAATTCCAAAGCAGCTTTACAGTCTTTGCGGGTGCTCTGGTTGTAGGTTGATCTTGATGGGTTGCACTGGTCAAGTTTTCAAAGTGTGGGGGCTGCAGAGATGTCTTTTGCTAGAAGCTGCCAGATGGTTCTCTTCATGCCTAGCATAGCCAATTCCAGCCAGGTCCAGCATAGATCCTGCTCTGGCCAAGGCTGAGCCAATCAGGATAGTTGTAATGTCTCTCAGATAGTATATTTAAGAAGGAAACAAAAGTTATTGCACAGATTTAATGGTGGGCAGAGGAAAGCGGGATGAGAATATGAGGGAGGAACATCTCTGCAGACAGCAAAGTCAGTGCAGAAGAAAGGGCAGGAGGTGGTCCAGGTGCCAGAGCTGAGTTTCGCCTGCAGCCCCTGGTGCAGCCCATGGTGAGGCAGCTGTGCCCCTGCAGCCAGGGAGGGCCATGGGGATGCAGAGATCCTTCTGCAACCCACAGGGGGGACATGCTGGGGCAGATGAATGATTGAGAGGAGGCAGTGAACCCATGGGAAACCCATGCTGGAGCAGGCTCCTGGCAGGGACTGCACACCTATGGACAGGGAAGCCCGTGCTGGAGCAGGTTTCTTGGTGGAACTTGTGACCCTGTCATGGACCCACTCTGGCCAGGCTGTGCCTGAAGGACTTCATCCCATGGAAGAGAGACCCAGGTTACAGCAGTTCCTAGAGGATGGTTGCCTGTGGGGTGGACTTGTGATTGAGGAGTTTACAGGACTCTCTCTCATGGGAGGGACCCCACAGTGGAGTAGGGGAAGTATTCCTCTCCCAGAAATAGGAGGAACAATGTGCAATAAACTGACTGTAACCCCCTTTCTCTGTCTACCTGCGCCACTGGGAATGAGAAAGCAGAGCTGGGAAGGAGAGAAGGATAGGGAGAAATTGTTTTTAAGATTTGCTTTTACTTCTTATTGTCCTGCTCTGATTTTGTTAGTAATAAATTCAATTCATATTCCTGAATTGAGTCTGTTTTGCCTGTGACAGTGTTTGGTTTGTGATCTCTCCTTGTCTTTATCTCAACTCATGAAACTTTCATTATATTTTCTCTCCCATGTCCAGCTGTAAAGGGGAGTGATAGGGAGGCTTTGGTGGGTGCCTGGCATTCAGCCAGCACCAACCCACTACACAACCCCCACTCTCTCATCCCCCACTTCTCAGCTCGATAGAGGAGAGAAAATAACATGGAAAACAGCTCATAGATTGAGACAAGGCAATTTACTAAAGCGAAAGTGAAAGGTTGAACATGCACATTCAGAGAAAAAAAAAATCCCAAACTTTTATTCTTTACTTCCCATCAACAAGCCGTGTTTAGCTACTTCCTGGGAAGCAGGGCTTCATCATGTGCCGTAGTTACTCCAGAAGGCAAGCATAAATAATGAATGCCTTCCCTTCCTCCTCCTCTTAGCTTTTATTTCTAAGCCAATGTCCCATGGTATGGAATATCCCTTTAGTCAATTTGGGTCAGCTCTCTTAGTTGTATCCCTCCCCAACCTCTTGCCTGTCCCCAGCTCACTGTTGAAGGGGTGGAATGTTGGACAGTGCTGATGCTGAGGGAGCATTATTCAGCAGTGGCCAGAACGCTGGTGTGTTATCAACACCCTTCCAGCTACCAATGCAAGGCACAGTACAGTGAGAGCTGCTGTGGAGAAAATTAACTCCTGCACAGTCAGACCCACACAGCATCTGCCTTGTGCTGCAGAAACATCTGGTGAGGAGTGTGCGACCGCTACCTGAGCGTAAATGCTGAGTGTAAAAGCAAAGCCTATTGCAGTCAGACAGAGAAGGGTGGGGAAGCCCTTGCTCTCCACTTGGACCTCAGAAATTCTGGAGCAAAATTTAGGTACATTTCAGTTGGCCTTTATTCTGGAGATGTAGAGGGTACAGGTGTGCTGGTGCTGCCAGTGGGGTGTCTGTGAAGAGATGCCAGGGCTTCCCTGCGCTGGACATAGCTTGTTCCAGCCAGCTCCCACTGCTGAGCTGAGCACAGTGGGAACACCTTGGAGAAAAGGTGTTTAGGAGAGATGAAAACTTCACGGAGGGCAGAGGAAGGAACAGAAGAAGTGAGAAACAGAGAGCAAATGCCAAAGTGAGATAATAAGAAGGACGAGGTGGGAGTGAGGGAAAGATGGTTTGGTTTTTGTCTTTGTTTCTCACTATCCTACCCTTTTGTAATGGGTAAGAAATTAAATTAGTTTTCCCCAAGCTGAGTTTGTTTTGCCTGTGATGGCAATTGGTGAATGGTCTCCCTGGCCTTATTTCAACATATGAGCTTTCCACCTGACTTCCTCTCCACTCTCCTGCTGAGGAGGGGAGGGATTGACAGAGAAGAGGTGGAGGTCTGCAGCCATCCAAGGTCAGACCACAAC